TGGTAAACTTAAATATGTCCATTCAACCTTTAAAGTGTCCCTGTACCTATCACAATTCGTTATTAAGCATAGACTAACAGTCAATCAGGAGTGGTAGCTACTAATTAGAACCCTGCCGTTTAATCAACAGAAGACCTATAGTAATCAGCTTGTCCGTCCTTGCATGTGCCCTTCTGTCCGTTTGTCAATCATGTACTATCCTACCTTAAAATCGTTTGGTGTTCGGTAATGAAACTTGGAATGAATAGTCTCCACTCCTCTTAGAAGATGTGTTGCGTACAAGGAAGAAAAATGCACGTTGAAAATCACTATTAAAAACTTAGTTCAACTGAGCCACCCGTGTGCATATGTCCAAAAAATCGTGTTGCTCATGTTAGTAAAAACCCGGTGATAAGTCTAAAACGGTACATCACATTCGAGGAAAAGAGGACGGAATTGTAGTTACGACAATTGATATATCCGTCGTTATCTGTGAAATAGATATTCATAACGATCAACCAACTAGTAATGGCGTCCGTAAAATTTTCGTAAAGTAATGTTTAAACTTTACCTCTTGCCTAGAAAATGTGGCATACAAATGGTAAATAAACAGCACGTCATTGTCAATTTGGTGATCATGGTAAAAGAACTTAGTTTAACCTAGACATTCCTGTGTATACACATGTAACTGGAATAACCATAGCATAGCAATGTAATGATTTACATACTGCGAGACCCTATGTGATGGCTACCATCACTATCTTTTAGGGGAGTGTCTAAACATGACAGAAAAAACGTGGACAGTTATTTTCCAAACTTTATCCCGGCTACTTTTGTTTAACTCAACATATGGTCTAAATTCCAACTGTTTAGTAAAGAACAGAATATTTACTTACATTTTTTGTAAAGTTTCGAAAAAAAAAATCAGCTTGAGAAAAAACTACAAAGCCAGGGCAGTTATTTGTTGTGAAATTAGTCTGAGAATTAAAACCCTGCTTTGTTCGGCACATTAGACGGAATATGCTATTATAAACATTACTGGCAAATAAAGAAGGGTTTCTTGTGATCACTCAGTCAAAGGCGTGAATCTCTTTTTTTTTTAAAGATTTTAAAGTGTAATAAACTTTTACCGGGTATGAAGTATACCATTTACTCTGAAACCAGAATGTGTCTTTAAAAAGCAAGATATTCAACAAAACAAGACAATGCGGAAAATTCAGCCTTAGAAAGTTTATTTAAGATTAAAAAAAAAAAGTATATTTTCTTGTCGAAAATGTTTTCATTTTTTATTTTGCATAAAATTTCGAAGTCACGAAAGTATGGCGACCAATTAACTTTTCAATAGTCTTGGGTCCTGGCTCACTGCACGACTTTATACTGACTCGGAGAAGAGGTTGGACACATCATTGTAATTCTAATAAATACACAAATGGTTTAAGGGGGTTTAAGGGGGTAGGTTGTATTGGAAGTCATTTGTGCGTTTTAACCTAGCAGCAATTGAAACAGCGATCTAGCATTTATGTTGTTAACATTTGGTTATGAGAATAATGACAAGTACGTCTAAACAAGTGACAAATCTGTCGTAGAGTTGTCACTTGTTTAAACGTACTTATCAAAATAATTATTTCTGTGACTGTATCTTACGATCCTTTACGATAAATATTTAGCTAATCTGCAATCAATTCCATCTTCATGCCTAATATACCATGTACTGTGTTACAACTCTAGATTCTACTGAAGAGGAAAGGTAACACTAGGCCACCTAAAGCTGAATTATAAGTTCAATCTAGGTGACTAGTGGTCTAGAGCGATGGACACAGTGCAGGCGGTGATGTCTCGATATCCCATTAGCATGAGTTCGAATCCACGCGAGGGAAGAACAAAATTTGCTTCCGCAAATTTGCAGATTTAACATTGTTGTGCTGATATTTAGAGTAAATCTGAATATAAAATGTGTTTTCAGCCGTGTATCAACTTCACTGGTGACCCAATGGATGGAGTTGTCACTTGTTTAGACGTACTAATCATATATATATGAACAAGAACTAAATTTGTTCATTCAACATGCCAACGATGCCCATCCCTCAATAAAATTCACATATGAAATCTCTGACTCTAAGATCACATTTCTTGACACTACAACGCAAGTGAGGGATGGAAACATATTTACAGATCTGTATTGCAAGCCCACAAACAAACATCAATATCTATCTCCTTTGAGTTGTCACCCTAAACATTGCACCAAGAGCATTCCCTACAGCCAGGCCATACGAATAAAAAGGATTTGCTCCACCAACGATATTGCAAAAAAACGACTACAAGAACTTCGCGGTCACCTAAAACATCGGGGCTACAAAAGAAAAGACATTGATAAAGGTTTTTCTCGTGCTAACAACATCAGCCGAGATGAACTTTTACAATATAAAGTCAAAAAGGTCAACAGGAGGGTGCCTTTTGTGTTGACTTACCATCCAAAATTTGACAACTTATCTCACCTAATCCGCAAAAATTGGAAAGAAATCGAAAAACATCCTAAACTATCCAAGATCTTTCCCGAGCCACCTGTACTGGCTTTCCGTAGGCCCAAAAGCCTTAAAGACTTGCTGGTGAGAGCTGATTTATCCTCTCAAGCAGGCTCTTCTTCTGTGGGCTCTTGCAAGGGTTGCGGGAACAAACGATGTCTGACTTGCAAACAAATACTGGTTACCCAGACTTTTAACAGTCACTCCACTGGTACAGAATACACCATATTTTGCAATGTTAATTGCAAGACTACAAATGTTGTGTATCTCCTACAGTGTAAATGTGGTAAACAGTATGTTGGCGAGTCAGAACAGCCGTTTCACAAACGAATGAACGGTCATCGTAGCGACTACCAATGCAAGCCAGACCTCCCTCTCAGTCGACATTTGAGATCCCCTGGCCACACTAAGGCAGATCTCAATCGACTGACCATTACAATCATTGACCACAACTCTGCTTGGTCTAGGGAGGATAGACTCACTCGGGAAAGATTTTGGATAAGAAAATTAACAACTTTGGCACCAAATGGGATAAATGAAAAGATGTAGTTCGACTCCATGCAGTGCTTCACATTTGGGTTATATTACTTATTATTACAGTCTCTGTTTCTATTTCTTTACTTTACTCATCTCTAAAATCTGTTGAATATACCAATTTAAATTGCTTAATTTTTGAGGGATGTGAAAGTGCCAAGCCACGTTCAACTAGTTAACCTTAGTCAAAATTTATTATCATATTTTAACGGCCGTTTGTTTGCGATGTTTAAATACGCAGACTCTGTTGTAACTACTCTACCGTTGTCAAATTTGAAATATTTACAAATTTAGATCGTTCAGTGCTGTTTATTTGGAATTCTTATTGACGCAATCGTTCTTGTAACATCATAACTGTCGTCACCGTTAAAGCTTTAGAATTGTGCTAGTTCATATCGCACATTATTATTTTTATTTAAAGCATATATTTGAACTCTCTGCTGTAATTAGTCATATAACCTATGTCGTGTTTAACACATATTTAGAATTGTGCGAGCGTCTAACCTGATGTTCGGTTTGACTTTTTTATTGTATAAATTTCAAGATTGTTATAGTTTAATTTAAGTAGACTGATATATGATTCATTCAACATCACAATCATATTTACTGATGAAGGATATCTGTTATCCGAAATATTTATAAATAATTACATTTATAGTTCCTTTTTTTGTTATTGGTGTTGTTGTGTACACTTTTTAGGCGTTTATATATATATATATATATATATATATATAAACGAGTCTAAATTGAAAACAACGTTCAAACCTATGATTGCGTTGGATAAAAACCGCAATTTTTATACGTGTGCATGGAAAACAAATTTCTTGGTAGAGTGGTCTAAATACAGCACAAACAACATTTTCCAAAAGACCAAAAAAGTGAAAAAGTATATTTGAACAAAACGCATTTGACAAGCAGGTCGAACAACGGATGTTCTTAAACCCTGCTGACTGCCATTGACGATTGCCAAATAAATTGATCACCAGATGTAACAGAGATCTTATATTTAATTTAATACCAAACAGAAAACAATAAACTTGCGGAGAAGGTGGTATACCGCAAACATGAGGTGCAAAAATTTGTACACCATATCCGGATTTCGACAATTAATGTCTCTTCAGTGATGTTAGGGATCGAAACGGTATTTGGAAGGCCATATAATTTACCTCAATTTAGGATAGACTCTTGAATTTTAAATGGGTTTTACTACTTTTTGAAGGCCGTACGGTGACCTATAGTAGTTAATTTCTGTGTCATTTGGTCTCTTGTGGAGAGTCGTTTCATTGACAATCATACCACATTTTCTTATTTTGATATAAATAGTTTTATTGTTTAGTAAGAAGCATGATTGAATAAAAATTGCGTAATCCTCTGAAAAACAAAGTACATTAAAAAGTAAGGAATTATTTCATGTAACATTTAATTCAAACTTTTTTTGTCAAAGTACTCTAATACCTTTCATTCAACCATTAAACATGCGAAAGCTAAAATTTCAAGTTTTGACATATGTAGAATACCGACGATGTTAATCATGCAGAGTTTACAGATATTGTGTTATAGGTCGTCATGAATATACATGAACTAATTGCCACTGGACGTTAAGCAAACAACAATTTAATTCACCTAATATACGACTGTATTGTATACCACCTGAAAGATTATTATTTGTACTTTCTGTTTTGTCCGGACATAAAAAAGTACATGATTCTTCTGGTTGTTATTTGCTTGAACTTGCTTTCAGTAACTGCGGGTACTCTCAGATGGTACTTTGTATCTTTAGTGTTATTGTTCTTTGTATCGATCTGATGAGTCTAGCCCATTGCAGCTGATTTTATAGTTTGCTCTTATGCTGTGCCTTTACAACACTGTCCCAGATCAAGGGAAGGTCATAAACCCCCGTCTAATTCTGTGTGTGGCTGCCAAGTCAGGAACCCATAATTCAGTGGTTGTGTAGCTGAATTTCATATTTTTGGTTTTTGGTTTTTGGTTTATTGTTTTATACATAAATCAGGCTGTTAGTTTTCTCGTTTGAATCGTTTTACATTTGTCATGGCTTCTTCATAGTTAACTATCTGATATGAGTTTTGCTCATTATTGAAGGCCTTACAGTCCCTATAATTGCTAAACTCCACGTTTTTAACTTTGTTGTCTCATGGGCAAACACCACATCTCCTTATTTTATATTATCTATGAATTGTTTCTCCAAAAGAGATCTATTTGCCTTGGAGAACTAACAGGCTACCAGCAGTAGTATTAAGTTTGACGTCTCATGATAATCTACTCAATAACTGGACCAAAGTCAAAGGATCAGGCATGACAGGGAAAGTCGACCCACAATATTTTTTAATTTTGTAATGAATTTGAATGTATTTAAAAATAATTAAGCAATTTATATACTGTTAGAAACTATTCAGCTGTAGTTTGACCTTCTTAAAAAAAACACTCGTTGAAATACACTTTTAGAGGTTGTTCATGGTTTTTCTATCTGACTTTTGAAGAATTTTCCTGAAAAGTAAAGGGGACGTTTATAATAGGATGAGGAGATTAACAAGTGTTCCGCCGTATATAACTTTGCATCGATACGTTAATTGCTGTAAATTAACCGTCAAGGTTCTGCATCATCCTAGCTAATGGTGCTATTTTATCATTAACGGATGACACATCTTCCAGAAATGTTTTATACTCGTCTGATTGTTTCATTATTTGTGAGACTCGTATGCACGTTGAGTGAAATCCTGCTAAATTATTAGAGAAACGTAATGCTCTCATAAGATAAGTGTTAGCATTTACACATAAATGTGTGTTTCCAGAAACAGTGTTCTCTACAGTATTTTGAAGCATTCGTAACTGACGATCCGCCTGAAAATTATCTCCAAGCTCGAAATGAATCAAAAAAGAAAAATAATGTAAAATAACAACTGGGTAGCACGGAAGAAATGCATGAATTTCACTAGCTCCTAAATTTTCATGAGCCAGAAATGAATTTTTAGTATCTATATTGTATGGTACATCCTTCATTACTTCTTGCCGTAATCGTTTTAGAAACGAACATTTCGCCGACAGTCTTTTTCTGGTGAGTGTGTGTATAAAACTGGTTTTCAAATGATGTGATAAATAAAGTCTGTCAATGGATAATTGAACCGTTACAAGATCTAAGAGTGGAAACATTTTGAAGTGTTCTCGATGGTTATAGAAAAATGCTGCAAGCAATAACCACCCTGATGCAGCGTCACTGTACGTATTGATTAACAATTTTGCCAGTATTAGTCTATATGTTATATACGTACACTTATTATGACTTTGTTTAGCTCGTCGACATTTAGGATCACCATTACAAAACTTGACATTAGACAACGAAGAGTAATTAAAGCACAAAAATTGCAACGCGCATATATTTTTTACACTTTTTGGAAGACTAGACACTATTCTGTGAATAACATGCTTACACTTATGTTCGAAGTCAAAGTATTTCATTTCTAAAGTCATGTAAAGAGGAAATATAGCTTTATCAAAAACATTATAGCCATTCACCAGGTTAAACGATAATCTAGCCCGAAATCCGTCTAAAGAATTTGCATGAAAGATATTCTCCCATCCTTTGTCAGACAGCACTCCGTTTAACATGCGAATCAACTCGTTGCGTGCTTCGTTTGACAATTTCCCGTCAATCATATTGTGTGCAGGTACGAAATAATTAGGAAGATAGTTACATGAAATGAAGTACAATAAACGTTTAACACAAACCAGAAAGCAGTGAATTAAATTTTCTGATGTCCATTTCGATCCATCTGTTTCCTCCAGTATCCAGAATAGTAACGTTTTCATATAGTATGAACACAAAAGTTTAGACAAAATCTTATTACTATTTACGATTTCTTTCAGATAAATCTTCAACAAGGCATAACAAATAATCTGCACGTGATTGAAAGAATGAATAAGTACTTTTTCTGACAAAGAAAATGACATTCTCCATTCCAATTCGTTGACGTCATTCGAAGAACTCTTGCTACCGACGGGAACTAATAACACGCCTTGTTCGGCAATGTTGTCAATTAGTTCTTGAGGAGGCCATTCAGATGATCTGTTTCTGAGCAGCCAATTTTTGGCTACAAACGGCCATGTGTTGCACTGTAAACAGTAAACCATATCCAAATCTACTTCATTATGACAAACACTTGGACCATGAATACTGAAAGCCCCATTATATAAACGGGGTTTAACCATGAGTAAATCTTTAATTTTTCTACTTGATAGTAGGTACCCATTGTCAGTCTTAGAAAACAAAACGGGGCAAAATTTGCCGATGCTTTCCGGAACGTTTAATAGAGCAAATCCTGGTTGAGCATTGTTTGTATCGATGTTTACAGCAAAACCTGAACTGTCAATGTTCTCATAGACCTTTAAATATTTGTGTAAAGTCATCACGTCAAAATCACTTCCATGAAGGTCTAAACCTTCCGATTTACTTCCACTACTGATTAATTCAAAGCCATGTTGTGTATTCCATGTTTCATCAAATAATTTAAAAAACAATCGTCTATATCTAACAATTTTTTCCGATCCGACCAATACATTACACATATATTGGTATAATTCTATTGAAGCTGTTTCTAATTCTTCATTTCTAGAGTCCATAGTAATTTGGTAAAACTATCTTCCCAACATACACCAAGACGCTGCTGATTACATCAAAATCAGTCAAGTAATTAAAGAGTCAAACTTTTCAGCAGTTAGGTAAAAGTTGAAGTTTATGCATGAACTTCAATCACTTCTTAACATATAACTGAGTTAAAAGAATGAGACAGTGAATATAAATAGTTGGCAACTCAGAAAAAGGAAATACTTATACTTTTCTAAGGTTCAAAAATATTTCCTTTCTACTCAGATCCGATTAGAAAAATTTCCTTGATTCAGTGTTGCCTACTCCCTTTTGTTATGATCGTATTTTATTGAATATTTGTGAGATATGACAATCAACTTATCACTGCATTTTAAACCATTCCTGTATCTGAAACTTTGCAATTAATGACTGATTATCAAATAAAAATGATCAAGTAAAACACATTATGGAATATAATAAAACTATAATAAAAAGTGACTTTTGAACGTGAATGATTAATAGTAAACGTCAATGAAAATAACACATTAAAATGTCGTGCCTCCGAAGCGCTTTTCTGGATTAACCCTCATCACTTCAAACTTCAACATTTAAACGCAAGCTATATGAGCAAAAGATACATAAAAAATAACCATGTTTATCTAAGGCCAACTTTGCCGGATACCGCATGGATTTTGTTTATTTTTTTGAAGATGGTTATAATTAGGTGACCTATAATTATTCACACCTTTAACCTTTGATCTATTGAATTAATAGTTGACTCATTGACAAACGTACCACATCTCCTAATTTTAAATAGATATAAAGACTTCTAGAATCTAGAATGGTTTTACATTTGTCATTTCGGGGCCTTTTATGACTGACTGTGCGGTATGGGCCTTTCTCATTGTTGAGGGTCGTACGGTGACCTTAGTTGTTAATTTCTGTGTCCTTTTGGTCTCTTGTGGAGTGTTGTCTCATTGGCAATCATACCACATCTCTCATCTCTATATTCTTTTCATATCAAACATAGATGTTCATCCAAAAAACTATTAATTTACTGATTGACTGAATTTTTATCATTTTAAGAGCATAACTCCTCAGCCATATCTACTGTAATGTTGACAAATAAGACTGGCCTTTACTTTAAAGGTATGAGTTCATCTTTAAAATTATCTGACAGAAAATTTATTAAGAAAAGTATGTAATTAATCATGTCAGTACTAATGCACTGACTATTGAGATGATGATACCATCGGCTATACGCACAGTCCACAAGGAGTGGTATCGACTAATGGCTAGTAAATAAGAAGCGCTTTCCTGGATCTACCTTCATCAGGAAAATACACATTTGTACTTTCCAGTGAGAAATTTCCTTGTATGTGTGTTTGTATGTTCCTCTTTTGTTGAGCATGAGTATGCAAAACTGCATAAGCTTAAATTTACTCCAAAGCCTATACAATCATTGTAAAGTCTTGTTTTTCAAATTAGGTGCAGGAAATGAAGTAATTACAATCACTGGCATACTGTTCCTACAAGAAGCATTAGAACTTTACAAAAATAATCTAAATTGAGAGTAGTACCACAGTTCTGAGATTGTTAAAGGCTGTTTAATGAAAATTCTATTTTCCATAAAATATCGCTAGTCATTCAGAGACCAACTAATTTAATGATTTTGCTTGGTCAATTGCTGTCTTATCAACTATGTTTATCAATCCTGTAGATATAATCATAAGGAAAATAATAAAACATATAATTGACAATTGGTTTCGATTAGACAAATTCGTCCGCTTTTCTTTCGTTCATTTCTAAATGATTCCCTGAAAGAAGAAAACAATGTAGATAAAAACAACAATAACAACAACAATAATAGTAATAACAATAAAAATGGTAATAAAAATAAAAATGATAAATGTTACCCGGGTCTGGTTGATTCCTGTGAAAGAATGAAAGAATTCTAAATACAATTTCATAATGTTCATTCAAATTACATAATATATGACATAATTAGTAACCATATAATTGTGCTTGGTGAATAAATTTCTTTCATACATTACTTAAACTCATTTATGTCTAGGAGTCAATTGACCTTGTATATTCACTTTCATGTGTCTTAATATACTTTAAACGCATTGCACGAACTTCATTAATTTATTTGATTATCTTGTCTTTACATTTATAAGATTAACCAACTTTTCAAAAAACAGTATTTGTATTTCTCTAAATCAAAGCTATTTCTGTTTCTAAAAACGTAACTTAGATTGATGGATTTATTGTTTCGGTATTTTAACGCCACTTTCAGCACTATTGGTAATTTTGGTGGAGGAAGCCGGAATGTTCATAGAGAACCACCGACCTTCTGCAGGAAAACTGGCAATCCTTTTCAATCAAAATTGGAGTCGAACGCACCTGCCATGTGTGGGATTTGTACATTACAACATTGACAGTAGGCTATTTTTGTGTGGGAATGTCTTCACTGCTCATTATCAGCATCATAATAATAAACCTAAATGGATTCACATGCTACCATAGTTCATCTAAACAACGGTAATGAAATTGTAACTATTATATAAAATAAAAAATAGGGGTCCCTTCAACTTCCTGGAGTCACATAAACACCCTTGTTGCATTTTTTATTCCTTTAAATATGTTTTACCCGAATTAATCGCCCTAATCATACATTATTTCCCGCAAAGTTAGTAAAACAAATTTCTTAAAGTTTGTAGTGTTTCTGCAATTTACTATTATCGGACAAATTGTGATAGTATTTTTCATACCTTTTCCCCTTGTTAGGCTGTAGTTTTTTTTTTATATTACCTCACACCATCGTGCTTCAATGTGCATATAAATCCTATGAACCAAGTCAGGTTGGTTGATAAAGTCTAGCATTCGATTTTGTTAGTTTTTATGGACTTCCCCTTTTTGAATTAACTGTGAAAGTACTTTTATTCGTTGGGTACCAATTTTCGGTGTTTTCGTGGATGGCTTTATCAACGAGTTTAAGTGTCCGACGAAACATAACAAATGTTGTACAAATCAAGACATGGAAAGATCCCTATGTAGGTTTGAATATATGAATAGGGGCATATGATGTAAAGAACAAAGTAAAATCACAAAAATACTGAACTCCGAGGAAAATTCAAAAAGGAAAGTCCCTAATCAAATGGCAAAATCAAAAGCTCAAACACATCAAACGAATGGATAACAACTGTCATATTCCTGACTTGGTATAGACATTTTCTTATGCAGAAAATGATGGATTGAACCTGGTTTTATAGCTAGCTAAACCTCTGACTTGTATGACAGTCGCATCAAATTCCATTATATTGACAACGAATGCATCGAATATCAGCAAACGCTCTATGAACTATATTTGCAACTTCAGACATACATATTATACATACTTAGAAATTAGTTCGAATATGCCTTATTCTATAAATTACAGATAATATTCAGATTCATTATAACTCAAAAGAAATTTCAGTACAGTATTTTGAAAGTGCATGCGATTAAACCACTACTTGTATGCTTTCAATTATTAGTTGTTTCTTGTGAATCATTCAAGATAATTAGGTGGTTATTTGAAGTCACTGATAATAGGGCCTAATTCATGAAAGAAATGTATTTTTGAAAAGACTTCATAACAAAATTTTAAATAAACGGATCGTTAAAAGGATATCAATCCGGGTTTTTCGTGATATCTTTTTAACGACTCAACGCTTATCAATTGTATCTAGATAATATAATAAATATATAATTAATGATAAAAGCGCTTCTCTTTTGTCTAAGATAACATCTGATTAGGAATCTTATCAGCACTATGTATATGTTAAAGTAAAAAATGTATGCCAGGTCCCTAGCACGTAAAAGATCCCTTGCAACAACTCTTGCTCGGTTCGTCCAGTTTACTGTGTTGGATGTATAACTTCTATACTCGTTCTACTGTGGGTGATAACTTCAAGTCAGGTGTATAAAGAATGCCAAACTCCCACACTTAAATGAACCTCGTCAAAATCTTTAAGATTGTTTTAAGATACTGTAAGGCTTTTGTCAAATTAAATTCAAGTTTAAATCTTGATACCTTGGAAGAAGTATCCTTGAGCTTGAGCTTTTTAAGGTTGACAAAATATCAAGATAATAGATTACAATTAATGTATTTTGGATTTTGATGAAGATGCATACACATATTGGAAATGGAAAAATTCAAATACAAGCCGGATGTTTGATTTTTCGTAAAGTTTAAATTAGCATTTCAACTGACTGCGACCAAGTGCCTGCACAGAGTCGATTATTCCACTATTAATTGTATGGACAATATATAAAATAGAATGGAAAAAGTGAATGTGCCAAAGAGACAACAACCCGACCAAAGAGCATAAAACAAGGCCACCAATGGGTCTTCAATGCTGCGAGAAAATACCTCACTCGGAGGCGGGCTTCAGCTAGCCCCTAAACAATAATGTATACTAGTTCAGCGAAATTGACGCCACACTTAACGACAAAACATACAATTGAATCAAAATAAAAATAAACACCCAAGACTAACAAAGGCTAGAGGTTCCTGACTTGGGACAGGCGCAAAATGTGGCAGGGTTTAACAAGTTTTTTGAGATCTCAACCCTCCCCATTTGCCTCTTACCAATGCGGAATAAACAAACACACAGCAAAACGCACAGTAAAACTCAGTTTGAAAAGTCCGAGTCCGATGTTAGAATAGGTAAAAGAAGAAACTAAGCAAAGTGACAATGATAAACATACATTAACATAGGACTACTAACAGTTACTGACATGCCAGCCCTAGACTTCAATTAAGCTGATTGAAAGATTATGTCTTCATCATATGCAATGTATCTATAGTTAAAAGATAGTTTCCTTTTAACTTACTTGCCCTTGAAACAAGTACATTGTAGGCCAGTATACCTTTTTATAGGCCAATAGTTTTAAAACAGCTCAGCTTGTAGAAAATCACGTGTGATTTGTTTGGAAAAAACAAATAACACATTAATCTACAAAGCGGGCGTTCGAAAAGGAAGGCAAGAATTATAAATTGAAAATGAAAAATAAGATATTCTGGGCAAACATCTTGGCTTTGAATGCTTGGCCTATGGATCCACTAAAGAGTTAATTCTTGGCTTTCAAATATTCGGCTTTGAGCGTTCCTGA